TTTTTGAAATTGTCATTACTGTTAAATTTTTAAATCCTTTCAGTAATGAAAAATGACAAAAATAAAAGAATAATAAATGAGATGTATAACATTTTTATGCATGATAGTGAAACAATATAAATCATTCATTCAACTGCACATTTGTTAGATTTATAAGCATACATTTTAAAAGAATACTCATGAAATCCTGTTTATTAATTTTCAAACATCATGACAATAAATTTAACACATAACATTAAGGAAGGTGTTTTATTTTCATTTACATTTGTTTGTCACTACTTTTAAAAGAAACCCTGTTTAAACACTTATTTTATTTATAATTATTAACATGTTCTTATTTTTATGGGCATTTTATGTTAAATAATTTTTGTTATTCCATACCTTATGACACGGGAAAAAATGAATATTAACATAACCTTTCCCAACATTTCATTAAAATTCTTAACCATGCAAAATATGAATTAATTTCATGCAAAAATTAAATGGTATATTCAGTTAGTATTAAATACTATTTTATAGACAAAAATGTACTTCTCAAAAAACCATATGCTAAATTATTGATATGTTTTAGTTACGATACGAAAATGGTTATTTAGCACACACAAACTTACAAGAAGCAAAAGTTCGTGAATAATTTAGATACATGAAAAGCAATGATTTGGATCTTAAACTCCAAACATTCAAGAAGCAAACTAAAATGTATTAATGGAATATAAGATCTACTAACTAGTAAGTAGATGGATTATTTATGCATTGCAAATTTCTACTGAGAAAGAAAGTTAAGTAAAGCATTAGTTTGTAATTTTGTTTGGTCCATAATATGCATTCTCATGACCAAACAATGATAAAAAATAGGTCACAACAGTGATGGCAAAAAATTATTATTAAGTAATTATTTAATTCACTATATAATTTTTGGATCTAATTAATTACAATGCAACTTCAAAGTAAACAAACATTTAATTAAGTTTTCAGTTTCCTCTTCTCAAATCCTTAAGATCTGATACAAACTGATAAATTTAATGCAAGAAATGTTAAAAGATGAAAGAAAGAGCAGACATACGAAGGGTTTCAATATCAATTAAAATATGAATACCTGGTTATTAACTGAAAGTAAAAATTATTTACAAGGGTTCAATTTGGAAGAAAAACATTTTGAAGTCATAATTGCTGCCTGCTCCATAGACCAGGATTCCATAAACACATTTCTGGGAGCAATCAAACTTTGGAATACAACATTTTGCGGTAGCAAATTGCTTCCATGGTTCAAAAGTTTTTGTGAAACCATTTTATAGATACATCTTTAAATATTCCAATCAAAGCATTTTGAAATGGAATACATAAAAAGAAAGAAAGGGGAAATAGAATTCTCCATGCAATTAAAAAAGTAATTCACATAAAAAATATAACAGCACACACACGCAACAACCATTTGTATCAGTACTACAGTAGAACCTCGTTAATCCAAACCCCCAAAAATCCAAACAAAATACTGGCCGGAGGAAAAATAAAATAAATAAATGCTTACTTATAAGTGTAAAGAAAGGGATTTTTAATTACTTATAGACTGAACATCTAATTATAGAAACACAGTTGTCGAAATGAAAACAATTATTGCACTTAGTACCTACGGTGTATATAACATGTTTATATAGCTAGTAATTTTACTTAGAGGAACTTGCAAAAATGGTAATCTTTTGCCGTAAGGAACTGATCTGTTAATATGATGCAATTGCTGCGCTACATTGCCATTTTCTCACATTGAATGCTACATTGCATTGTTTGGTAATACTTAAGATGTATTTGTATACGTATGGTACATTTTTCAGAAAATCTGAACATTTCCATATTTGAACAGGCCATACGCCTCAATTAGTTTGGATTTCCAAGGTTTTCTGTATTTAAACAAGCTTAAACATAAAAAGCATGCCACAAAACCACTTTATACACAATTATAAACATAAAACAAACACATATGCATGATCAAAATACCATTAT